TCCTTTTTTCTTGTTTTTTTCTCAAGATTTTGCTCTCTCGGTCTTTTTGTTCTGTCTCTTTGTATATCTATCTCTCGTTAACTGATGCTATCTTTTTATTTCTTTTTCACACACACACACACACACACACACACACACGCACACGCACACGCACACGCACATACACACACACACTATTATGAGTTTTACCTTCACAAACCATTACAGTGTACAGGTAGACAAGTGTTGGAATAAGACAGGTGTTGGAGCAAGGCAGATGTTAGAGGAAGGTAGTTGTTGGAGTAATGCATGTGTTGGTGGAAGGTAGTTGTTGGAGTAAGGCAGGTGTTGGTGTTAGGTAGTTGTTGGAGTAAGGCAGGTGTTGGAGGAAGGTAGATGTTGGAGTAAGGCAGGTGTTGGAGGAATGTAGATGTTGAGTAATGCAGGTGTTGGTGTTAGGTAGTTGTTGGAGTAAGGCAGGTGTTGGTGTTAGGTAGTTGTTGGAGTAAGGCAGGTGTTGGTGTTAGGTAGTTGTTGGAGTAAGGCAGGTGTTGGAGGAAGGTAGTTGTTGGAGTAAGGCAGGTGTTGGAGGAAGGTAGATATTGGAGTAATGCATGTGTTGGTGGAAGGTAGTTGTTGAAGTAAGGCAGGTGTTGGAGGAAGGTAGATGTTGGAGTAAGGCAGGTGTTGGAGGAAGGTAGATGTTGGAGTAAGACAGGTGTTGGAGGAAGGTAGTTGTTGAAGTAAGGCAGGTGTTGGAGGAAGGTAGTTGTTGGAGTAAGACAGGTGTTGGAGGAAGGTAGTTGTTGAAGTAAGGCAGGTGTTGGAGGAAGGTAGTTGTTGAAGTAAGGCAGGTGTTGGAGGAAGGTAGTTGTTGAAGTAAGGCAGGTGTTGGAGGAAGGTAGTTGTTGAAGTAAGGCAGGTGTTGGTGGAAGGTAGTTGTTGGAGGAAGATGGTGTTGATAACAGTTGTTGATAAGACAGGTGTTGGAGGCATGTTGAAGCAAGGCAGGTGTTGGAGGAAGCAGATGTTGGAGTACAGGTGTTGGAGGAATAAGAAGAATATGAAGGAAAAGGTGGCAGTTGTTGGAGTAAGGACAGGTGTTGGAGGAAGGTAGTTGTTGAAGCAAGGCAGGTGTTGGTGAAGGGTTGTTGAGGAAAGTTATATGAAGAAGTTGAAGTAAGGCAGGTGTTTGATAGAAGGTGAAGAGCTGAAGCAATAGCAGGTGTTGTGTTGGGTAAATAGTTGGCGCATAGGTGTTGATAATGGGTAGTTGTTGAAGTAAGGCAGGTGTTGGTGGAAGGTAGTTGTTGGAGTAAGACAGGTGTTGGAGGAAGGTAGTTGTTGAAGGAAGGCAGGTGTTGGTGGAAGGTAATTGTTGAAGTAAGGCAGGTGTTGGTGGAAGGTAGTTGTTGGAGTAAGACAGGTGTTGGAGGAAGGTAGTTGTTGAAGTAAGGCAGGTGTTGGTGGAAGGTAGTTGTTGGGGCATAAGCAGGTGTTATGGAATACAGAAGCTGCTGGAGGCAAGAGATATAGGTGTTGGAGGAAGGTAGTTGTTGAAGTAAGGCAGGTGTTGGTGGAAGGTAGTTGTTGAAGTAAGGCAGGTGTTGGTGGAAGGTAGTTGTTGGAGTAAGACAGGTGTTGGAGGAAGATAGTTGTTGGAGTAAGGCAGGTGTTGAAAGAAGGCAGGTATAGACGTGTCAACTCTTGGCTTTGTCAACACGGGAGTGAGGAAGGGGAGGAAGGAGTCAGTCGCACGATGGTTCTCTAAAGGTCACCCAGAGCCACGCTGGACAGTGTGTATGTTGGAATATACATATCTCTCCCTCTGTGTGTGTGTGTGTTTGTAAAGGTTGATACTTGAGAGAGAGAGAGAGAGAGAGAGAGAGAGAGGACGACTATTGACCAATCTATTCAAACAATCAGAACCTAAATGCCCTTCAGTGCATAAACCGAAATTATTGTAAAAAATAAAATAAAACCCTTATTGAACCCACGTATCTACAAAACAACCTCACTAAACCCCTTATTTAACTCAAATACCTATAAAAACCGCACTTAAACCTACCTTCCTGACCAAAATACCCGCAAATCCCACACTTAATACCCCTACTTAACCAAAATACTCACCAAGACCACATTAACTTAACTTAACCTCACCTCACCTCACATATTCTCTCACATCTTATTTACCTCCGAGAAATACTTACCACCTTCAACTGGAAGGCTGGTGAGGAAGATTTGCATGTTATAGAATATTTGGTCGAATATTTTCCGTCGTAAAGATTGAACGACACACTCAGCATCACCCCTTCCCTACCCACACACACGCACATTGAGAAGTTTCTTATGTGTGTTTTGCTACGGACAATATGGCGTTGAGCCAACTCCAAATGGGTTCATATAAAGACATTTTCTACTTAGGATTTTACTGTATAGCTCAATGGCTCGCAATGGCCCAATTGGCCCATTGCTGTCGATCTGTACTGTTGCCTCTTATAGGTCTTTTAAACGATAAATCTTGGGACACTTTTCCCTGTTTTATTTGTGTTTGTTCCGTTTTGGTCTGTGTTATTCTTTCGGCTTGGGTTTAGTGGTATGGGGTTTAATTCCAAAGAAAGGGTATTCATGATATTGGTCCGTGGTGCGAGTGTGTGTGTGTGTGTGTGTGTGTGTGTGTGTGTGTGTGTGTGTGGCATGTGTGTGTGTGTGTGTGTGTGTGTGTGTGTATGTGTGTGTATCACCAACTTGTGGCATTAACCCTTGGCACCAGTTCAAGGACCAGCCCGTGGTACTTGTATATAGCTCTAGCCCATGGCACTACTCCACAGGTCAATTTGACGCCAGTCCGTAGCACCTGTCTACGGTCGATCATGGCACCAGTCCTTAGCACCAATCCATGAACCTCCTTGGCACTATTATCACCAGTCTATCACCAGTCTACGGACCATTATGGTACACTTTTTAAAGACAAGTCTCCGAACTATCATGACACTCGTTAATGGCACTTTGCCTGTAGTCCGTGTCAGGATTTCAGTCAGGGAGTGGAAAAAAGGAACCATTGCTTCCAAGTGTAAGGGATCACGAGTCATCACCTAACCACCTGTCCTCCCCACAACCGGACAACCTGTCTAAACCCTACCCACCTGGTCACGCCTTTTTCACCATCTCCACACACATCATCACACCACACCACCTTCTCTACCCTTGACCACCTCCCTCCACTCACAGACCACTCTACGTGAATTAACTTCTCCCCTGCCCCTTGACCACTTCTCACTGCCCTGAGACCATCTTCCTCCCCATCCTTCAATTCACTTCCCCACCTCACTGACCACCCCCACTCCCTGACCGCCTTCCTCCCCCACCCCCGGACCTGCATAATTCACCCGTAAAGCTGAAGTGTTTCTCCCACCTAAAAACTAGTGGCCGGGAAGAGCTTCACGCCGCCATTCCTTTTCTGCGACACAGAAACTGAACCCCTTCGTTCCTAATGTTCTTCTCATGACAAAAAGTAAACGGCACTGTTGGCAGAAGAGCAGATGAACGTTCCTCTTGAATAGCCTTTGTAAGCGTGTGTCACTTTGGAGATGGAGGGGAACACCAGAGGTTCTCCAGCAGGTGTTGTGTTGTGTTGTGTTGTTAAGGATTATATTACTTGTACCATAGAAGATGTAACCTAATGCTCATACAAGTAAAAGAACGTCAATGTTGGCAGAGAGCGAGTTTTGTTGTTGTTTGCCAGGTTAAATGTAAGTTCGAGCACCGTCTTCAAGATAATGTCACAATGAGGATATTACTGCAGTATAAGAAACAAGTATCTTCCCAGCCTTGGTTGGTGAATATGTAAACCTGGCGAATGGTGGTTCGAATAGTGGACTTACTATTTTATTGTGGAATACGGACACAATATATATATATATATATATATATATATATATATATATATATATATATATATATATATATATATATATATATATATATATATATATATATATATTATAATAAGAGATCACCGAAGAAAGTAAGTAATTATGCGAACAGTGGTGTAACTGGCCGCCCTCTCCAAGGTTCCACACACCTGCCAACTGTTCACTTGGTACAGTACGCAGATGCGAGCGTCGGATGGCTCAACTTTTCCTCGATGTGTCCACCAAAACTTGGTTAGATAGTGGTTACTTTGACTGTATCTATACTTAATACATAAACCAATACATTATTTTTATTCACATTTCCGTCACATAATCCTCATATTGAAGGCACCACATTTACGATACTCTCGCTATTTGGAGATTATTGTACCTGTACCTTACATTAACTCTGTACTTATGTCTTTATAAACTCTCTCATAATGGTAACAGCGTCATTGTTTTAAAACAGGTAGACCCTGTAAGCTAAACACCAGCGCCACCAAGAGCAGTCAGCAACGCCTGACGTATCCTTCTACTTTATAATGGTATTTTTACGTAGCTTCGCCAGACGAACATTAGCTTACCTTCTGTCTACTTGTTCTTCTTTATGTTGTTATTCCTTGTTTCTTTTTTTATATTTTCCATCTGTGTTTGTCTTTCTGTTTCCCCTAATCTTTGATTGTCTTTATCTCTCGCTATCTGTTTTTTCTCTCTGCCTTTCTTTCTGTTTGTCTGCCAGTCTTAGTCTCTCTTATTGTTTCTCTGCTTTTCTGTACCTCTCTCTGCCTATAGGTGTCTATTTCTCTCATTATCTCATTCTTTCTTCTTTATTCTTCTACTCTAACCCTTTTTTACTAGTTCTTCCCATACAGACCCACGGCTGAGATCATTAAGAGGAATCTCATATGGCCCACATTACCCGAGGCTTTTGCGTTAAATTACCCCTTCCCCTTTTATAACTATAGATACTAAAATGGCGCCGAAAAAAGTACGAAGACGTTTTAGTTTACATAGAATAAAGGATAAATCGACGTAGGTATCTGGTATTGAGGTATCTGGAGTGTGATTTTTACATGTTTATACTAATGTGATTTCTTAAACCCGCAGAATAAAGTGTTGGACGAAAAGAAAAGTGCCCCCTAAATAAATAATAGTAAAAAAAAAAATAGAAAATTAAGTGAAGGAATGCCCTCAGAGGCTGTAAAAGTGAACGGTTATGGTCAGTGTGAAGAAAAGCTCTAGATAAAGTCATTGTCAATGGCTAGTGACAGTCCACACCTCAGATTATGCCCTGGAAGACAAGACGAGGCACCCAGGATAAGCAACTAGAGAATAAAAAGAGGAAGAAGAAAGGGAAAGTGTGATAAATGGAGGCATGGATGATAATTATAATAATCATCTTCATTTTTGTGTTCCTGTGCATAGTCTGTTGCATCATATGGCACTTCTTCCTTGAGCAACACTGAGCAACATGGTAAGTGTTTGTGCAATGCTTTTGTTCAATTGTTTGTTTTTCTGACTCTCTCTTAACGAACACTAACCATTTTCCTATATATGATTCCATTTCTCATGTTGTTTTGGTTTGTTTCCATTGTTTATTTACATATTTCTCTCAAAATCGATCAATCGGTCTGTTTTTTTGTCATAATCAACCAACCAATCGTTTTTATATTGTATTTTTACATCTTTCTCTCAAAGTCAAAGAGTCAATCCATTTTTTATTTTTTTTATTATTTGTATTTATTTTGTATATTTTCTTTACCTATTTCCTCCAATAACAACCAGTGAATCAAGATGCCACCCTCTTGTCTGAAGGTTAGTGAATCAGGCCTTCTACTCCAACTGTGTTCAAGCTGTGTCTCTACCAATCACCTCTAGGTATCAGTAAGTCTCCAGGAACCACGGCTTTTAATAATTAATTCTTCTGTCCGAGTCTCTGTTTTTCCCCTTGTCATCCAATCATTACCGTCTCTTATTTATATATCAACCATGATTTATGAGTTTATTCCTCTGTTTATTACTTAATTTCTCTAAAAAAAAATACACTTATTGTTACTTTTGGCTATATACTTGATTCACGCCCACTGTACCCCTAGGCCACCCAGCTGTGAATGGGTACCTAACTTTATAAATCATAAAGAGACAGCAGTCGCCAATACATGAAACCAAAATATTCGACAATAAATATGAGACAAAAAGAAACGTTTATATTTTTTTTATATTAAATCAAATAAAAAAAAACATTGAAAGGTAACACCAAAATATATAGCAAAATGGCGGCTCACTAACAGCAGGTTTAAGAGATAAAACTCAAAAGTTACTCAATACTGAACCAACTTAATGTAATGGGCTAAATGAATTACACTTAAGAGGTAAAGTTTTGCTGTGAATACCTGGGAGATAAATGTCCTATTACACCTTATCTGACTGTATAGGTAATAAACACTGTACTTGAGACCTGTGTCTTTCATAAACTGCATCTACAAGTCGTATTACGTAAACATTAAAAAAAAATCCCAAAGAAAAATGTTTGTTAGTTACGCCATTGTATTAAAATATGTGGGTGTTATAAAGGATACTTCCAGATATTAATATTAATATTAATATTATATATATATATATATATATATATATATATATATATATATATATATATATATATATATATATATATATATATATATATATATATATATACATTAATTATGTCACCAGCGTACAGTAATCGAATAACAATAACAGAAAATATATTATAAACAATAACTTACAATAACCTAATATAATAAATTACATTAAAATAACTTTCAATAAAAAATAAACTCAATAACTTACAAAAACATTTGAATATAATATTAACAAAATATAACCTACAGGAACATAATCAACAATCATAATTAATTTAATAAAGAAATCACAGCTACAAAAAAAGAGCCGTGTGAATTAAGAGATTTTAAAACCCAGTCATGAAATTTCTCCCAGATTCGGAAAATTAACTGTTTAATTTGGGTCAAAAACTTCCAGGTGAAAAAATTGCTCAAGCTATAGGTTAATCTGAAGCCTCACTCTGGATTCTCACTGTGTCTCATTGCTGTATATATGAGAGGAGGGTTAAGGCCGGATTAACAATTTGGATCACCAGAAGATTAACCCCCAGCTTTTTTTTCACCTGAAGATTAACCCTCAGCTTTTTTCAACTTGAGATTAACCATCCTAATGCTAACCTAACCTAAGGAATAGTCATCCTATAACGATAGCCCAACCTTAGATTAACCATCCTAACGATAGCCTAACCTTAGATTAACCATCCTAACGATAGCCTAACCTGAAGATTAACCACCTTAACGCTAATATAACCTTAAGATTAATCACCCTTACGCGAACCTAACCTTAAGATTAACCATCCTAACGATAACCTAACCTAACCTAACCTAACCCAGGTAACGCTAGGGTGGTTAATTAAGCCTCATTTGAAATAAGCTGGAGTGCCTAAGGCTTCAGGTGATCCAAATTAAGTTGATGTAATAAACAAGCTCGTCTGTTTGTCTGTCTGGTGTGGATTATTCAGTCGCTAAGAGGTTGTAGGTTTAACGACGTCTGTGGTGGTATTAACGAGGTCTGTGGTGATATAAACGAGGACTGTGGTGGTATTAACGAGCTAAGTGTGGTATTAACGAGGTAGGTGTGGTATTAACGAGGTAGGTGTGATATTAACGAGGTAGGTGTGGTATTAACGAGATAGGAGAGGTATTAACGAGGTTTGTAGTAGTATTAACGAGGTAGGTATGGTATTAACGAGGTAGGTGTGGTATTAACGAGGTAGGTGTGGTATTAACGAGGTAGGTGTGGTATTAACGAGGAAGGTGTGGTATTAACGAGGTTGGTAGTGGTATTAACGAGGTTGGTAGTGGTATTAACGAGGTAGGTGTGGTATTAACGAAGTAGGTGTGGTATTAACGAGGTAGGTGTGGTATTAACGAGATAGGGGAGGTATTAACGAGGTTTGTAGTAGTATTAACGAGGTAGGTGTGGTATTAACGAGGTAGGTGTGGTATTAACGAGGTAGGTGTGGTATTAACGAGGTAGGTGTGGTATTAACGAGGTAGGTGTGGTATTAACGAGGTAGGTGTGGTATTAACGAGATAGGGGAGGTATTAACGAGTTTGGTAGTAAAATGACGAGTATTAACGAGTATCAAAGTCTAGTTAGTGTTCAGTGAGGCGGATAACATAAGCTGGTCGTTCATCACCCTATCAGAAACGACTACTGACCCCCACCATACAGTATATGTTTACATGAATATAAACACTATATGTAGTGGTAAGATGTTTACAGTAGAGTGATGTTTATTATTATTATTATTATTATTATTATTATTATTATTATTATTATTACTGTCTTTTAAATGTTACTATTATGACTATTACTACTACCAATAATAATAATTATAATAATAATAATAATAATAATAATAATAATAATAATAATAATAATAATAATAATAATAATAATAATAATAATAATAATAATAATAATAATAATAATAATAATAATAATAATAGTAATAATAATAATGATGATGATGATGATGATGATGATGATGATGATGATGATGATGATAAGGTGATTTTCTTCATAATGTTATCACTGTGTCTCAACAACCCCACTCCACCTCTCACTCACTCTTCCCACTCCACACCTCTCAATCACTCATCCTACTCCACCTCTCACTCACTCTCCCTACTCCACCCCACCTCCCTCACTCCACCTCACACCCACTCACCTACTCCACACCCTCAATCACTTCCCCACTCCACCTCCACCTCCACTTCCTACTACACCCTCACACTCACTCTCCCCTGCCCACCTCACTCACTCACCCCTACTCCCACCCTCCCCACCCCACCCACCCCACTCCACCCTCCCACCACTCCCACCACACCTCCCCTTTCACCCACCTCCCTACCACACCTCCTCACCACCTCCCACCCACCTCCCCACCCACCACCCCACTCCAATCTCCCCACCCACTCCACCCCACTCCACCCTCCCTCACTCACCTCCCACTACACCTCAATCACTCCCTCCCCACCCAACCTCACCACCACCCCACCCACACACCTCCCCACTCACTCACCCCACACACCCCACACTCACCTCCCCACTCCACCCCCACCTCACCTCCTACTCCACCCCACACTCACTCACCTACCCACACCCTCTCAATCACTCTCCCACTCCACCTCCCACTCACTCTCCCTACTCCACCTCACACTCACTCACCTACTCCACACCTCTCAATCACTCTCCCCACTCCACCTCCCACTCACTCTCCCTACTCCACCTCACACTCACTCACCTACTCCACACCTCTCAATCACTCTCCCTACTCCACCTCCCACTCACTCTCCCTACTCCACCTCACACTCACTCTCCCTACTCCACACCTCTCAATCACTCACCTACTCCACCTCTCACTCACTCACTCACTCACCTTTTGTTCCTACGACTTAACACCTACTCCCAACCCCTCCCTCGTTATTCTCCCCTCCTCACTACAGCTCATTAATTCTCTTTTCTCTCCTCTCTTTTCCCTTCCTCTCCTCTTCTCTCCTTCCTCATCTTTACTCTACTTTTTCCTCTCCCTCCTTCACCTCCTCTCCTCCTCTCTCCTCATCTCTCTTACCTCATTACCTTCCCCCACCTTTCCTCACCTCATTAGAGCCTCCTTCCCTTACTCTCTCAATCTCTTCCTTCTTCTCACCTCATTAATCTCTCCCTCTCTCATTATTCTCCCCTTCTCTCTCTCTATCCACGTCATTAATGTCTCGAAACTCTCACTTCCTCGTCTCCCCTCCCCCTCACTTCACCTCAGTTTCTCTCGCCTCAATATCTTCTCCTTGCCTCACCTCACACTTTCTCCTTTACTTCCCCATTCCACTCTTCTTGTCCCTTCATCTCCTCTTCTCTCTATTGCCTTCTCTTTTTTTTTCCTCTTATGACATCTTTCCTGTCTTTCATCTCTTCTGTTCTCCCTTCTTTTCCATTTTCTCCCCCCTCCCTCCACTCCGCTTTCTTCCCTCCCATCTTCTCGCCTCTCCTTCCATCTTCTCTCTTCTCCTTCTATCTCCTCTCTCCCATCTTCTCTCCTCCCTC